TTCATTACATTATTATTCATTTTTTTCTATGTTTCATGTTTCTTTGTCTTTTTATTTTTTTTTTTTTTTTTGTATTAGTTCATGCTCCAATTGATAAAAATTATTGAACGTAAGAAAAATATAGCCCGAAGTATGATCAAATAAAATAAAATAAAATAAAATAAAATAGAAAACAGACCAAAATGTACAATGAAAATGTCGTCGTCGTATTCGAGAATTCGTTGACAATGAAAAAAAAAAAAAAAGAAAAACAATTTATCCGATAGAAAGAAAAAAACACACACACACAGAGACACACACCCTTCGGCCCTTATCCGCGTATTATCATTGACAATAATACTTTGTTAGACATAAGTATATCGTAAAAATCGAGTTGACATATAAGAAGCCTAAAAAGATTATTACGAGTCGTTGAGTTTGTTTGCCGATATCATCGAAATTCCATGGGGGAATCAACAAATTCTGAGATAAAACAAAAAAAAAAGGGGGAAAGAGATCTTCAAAGTATTTCCTACCACCTTTATACCTTTTATTCAACAACTAATCCAATTCCACCCTCTCAACTCTGAACTCTTCATTCTCATCTCTAAATTGAAACTTTTCAAGTTCATTTGTTACAATATTCAGTTTTTGCAAGACACTTTTATCAAAAATTGCATTGATCTTTGTCACGATAAACGCACACATATATAAATTAATATTTTTGTTTTCCAAATCAAATCTAACTGTGCTTATGTTGAATTAAAAATCGAATTGTTTCTTTCGAAAGAAAATTGAAAAAAAGAATAAAAAGGTTTTATAAATCGTTTCAAAACATTCAATGTTTTTTCTTTTTTTTTTTTTTAATTAACATTTAAATTATTAATTTTGCACAAATCTAGTTTACTTATGGTGAATTAAATTCGAATTTTTCTTTCGAAAGAAAATCCCTTTCTCCCAAAAACTATAAAGGTTCTTTTTTTAGATATATTTAGAATCATTCGTTGGTTTCTTATCATCTTACGGTTATTTACTTCGTGAAACAATTTTAAATCACCAGTTATAAATAAAAGGAAAAAAGGTTGGAAAAGTACTGATGACTGAAAAATAAAACGAAGAAAAAAAAAATAAAACAGAATCCGGTAGGTGTATTTAAAAACGTTGACACCAACGTTTGGCGTCTGACTCGACGACGATTAATCTACTGCTATGGTTTAGCACGTGGCATTCGTAACACGATCGATCGATCGATCGATTTATCAAATCTTTTTATTGACTTTTTTTTAACGCGAAATATTAATAAACATTGTAATAGAAAACGTCATCTTTTAGAAATGTTTCTAATAGAATTTACAATGCAATTTAAACATTGAGAATTGAGAATTGAGAATTGAAATTTGTAAAATCATTTTCCAATATGATTCATCTGGAAAAAAAATATATATATATTTTTTTTAATTATTATTTTAAATGTTAATAAAAATTCAGCAAATTTAACATTTGAGAATAGAGAATTGAGAATTGAAATTTGTAACATCATTTTTCAATATGTGATTCATCTTGAAATATATATATATATATATATTTGTTTATTTATTATTTTAAATGTTAAGATCAAAAATATCGTATAATTAAATGAACGATTAATAAAATATATAATAATAATAATAATAATAATAATTAATAACAATGAAATTCAATGAAATCAAACATTACAAATGATATTAACAGCAATTTCATGTATGAGGTGATGGTTAGCAGCTCATTTCCGTTGCTATTATGGTGAAAATAAATTTCCGGTTGTGGAACACCGTTGTTATCTTCTGGCTACACTCAACTTAATGTTATCTCAATAATAACTTAACCCTTTTGTCTTGAAAAAAAAAATACAGAGAAAAATATAGTTATTATTTTAACCCTTTGCATTCTGCTGTCTCACACCGTATGAGACATTAAATTATAATATTTGAAATAATCTTAAGTACGAATGAAGTTGGTTAAGTATAATAATCGATTTGAGAAAGTTCATTTCCATAATCCACGAGAATCCATGAGAATCCATTAAAAGGCATTTCTACTAAGAATTTCATTGACTCAAATGACATTTATTATCTTTCTGTAAAAAAAAGTATATTTGAGATATTTGCATATAGAAAACGTATTTCGTTTAAACTTTGACAAAATTGATACTAAACAAAATCATCACACACTATTGTTTATTCCCACATACATAACATACATGAATAATTACAAATCTTTTTCTATGAGAGAGAATAGAAATGCATTGATAAATTGTAATATGCATAAATAAATGATTTATATTTTGATTAGAAGAAGTCAAATGATATGTAGTTGTTTATGCTTTTTGTGTGTGTGTGTGTGTGTCTTCTTTTTTGATTTAGAATTGCAAAATCCGTGGGAATTTGAATAACGAAAATTGTTCGTTTACAATTGCAATAGTTAGATAAATCGATGATAAAACGTTATTAAAACGATGATTATACAATTTTCCTTATCTTTTCATAACACGCGTGTGATAGTTGAGACATCAATTTTCCATTAGAAATAAATGTTTCCTATAAGAAGACCTCCAGCAAAGTCCGATTAGTTCATTTCGAAATCTCAACGGAGACACATCTTCTTCTTCCTTCCTTCGAATAATCTTACAATACGAATTATTATTATTATTATTATTATTAATTAATAAATTATAATAATCTAATTATGTAGCTTTAAAATGTTAATTAATTAAATGAACGTTTGTAAACGAAAAAAAAAACAAAGAAAATAATAATAAAACAAACAAACAAACAAAACACCAATCACAGAATTTTTATCGAGTACATTGAAAACGTGTAAGTAAAATCAAAATAATAAAATGTCATCTTTTTTTTGTTTTTTTTTTTTTTAATTGTAATTTTAATTGTAATATGTAAAACATGAAATAAATATTTAAAAAAATAATAATAATAATAAAAGAACATCAGAATCTCTTAATCGAAGTGTCAATTTGTTATCAATTTTATTATCAGATGGGTTCATTCGATTGTAAAAATTGTTGTGTGGTTTGTTATCACAAAATTACAAATGTCACAAAGTTGTTGTCAATTACAATACTAAATTGTAAGAATAAATTATACTGTGTATATATATATATATATGCAGTCTCTGACATGATTCATCATTTCGATTATCGAACTCGATTTAAAAAAAAAAAAAAAGTTCAATAAAAAGAAGAAGAAGAGAAAAAAAGAGAGAGAAAGACTAAAATAACATTTAATCGAAGAAAAAAAAAAAGATATAAAAAAAAGAATTAAATCAACGTTGATCTTCGTAACATTTCATTGACTACGACCTCGAGATGAAAGGCTTTTCTCGATAATGGACTATCGATTGTTCGATTATATCAGTCGTAATATGAAAGATAAGAATGTGATGGAGTTTTTTTTTTTTTTTTAAGGGGCTAGAAGTGAGAAGGGTTTTCTGGACATTTGATAAGGGACGAAAGGGACGAACACTTTTCTTTTATTATTTTTTTTTTTAAGAATTTATTTTTGTTTAATTTTTTTTTAACACGTTAAATGTCACGTCAGTCATTGGTGACTGACGATAAACTTCTTTACACCCAGGCCACGTCAGTCATTGGTGACTGACGATAAACTTCTTTACGCCCAGGCCACGTCAGTCATTGGTGACTGACGATAAACTTCTTTACGCCCAGGCCACGTCAGTCATAAGTGACTGACAGTAAACTACACGCTTGGGTCACGTCAGTCATATATGACTGACACTAAAGCTCACGGTTATGTCACGTCAGTCATATATGACTGACACTAAAGTTCACGTTCATGCCACGTCAGTCATATATGACTGACACTAAAGTTCACGTTCATGCCACGTCAGTCATATATGACTGACACTAAAGTTCGCGTTCATGCCACGTCAGTCATATGTGACTGACATTTAACTTCACATTTAGGCCACGTCAGTCATATGTGACTGACATTTAACTTCACATATAGGCCATGTCAGGCACTTGTGCCTGACGTTCAACAACTCAACCATTTGTTTTGCAACGTGTGGCCTGACGAAAATTTCCGTAAGAATATCCGTGGCGTTCAACGAGTTAAAGAATTAATTTCCGAATAGCACCAACGTGGTGTCACCGGACATCATAGTATTTTGTAATAATTTCTTTGAAGAATTTGTCAATGAATTCTTTTGAAAAAAAAAAAATATGTTTCTTATCTAAAAAAATTAAAATCAAAAGGGGGTCAGACTAGGAAAAAACAAAGGGATAGAAAAATGTAAAAAAAAAATATAAATAAAAAAATAAGAGGAACTATACGTTGCTATTATTTATTTGATATCTTTGCACAGCAGCCAGCAGTCTGCCATTTAATTTGGAAAAGCATTCCTTCTTCTCTCATTTGTAATCATTTCCTTTTTTTTTTTTTTTGCCGCTACTAATTATGATTACAAACAAAGAACAGATCTAAAAAAAAGAAAAAAAAAATGAATGACTGTGGTATAGCAATTAAAAGAACTATAAAGACTATACTCGTACTATCGATTAAATGATTAGTCCATTTGAAAGAGGACAAGTGTGAGGGAATGTGGGTTTTTTAACTTTGAAAAAGAAAACAAAACAAAACAAAAAAGAATTTAAAATCTAAAAATAGTAAAATGAACAAACGGTACAGGTAAAAATAAATGAACAAATAAATAAATAAATGAATAAATAAATGAATTAATTAAATAATGTCAAAGATGATTTACGAATTGAAATGATTGAAATGTTTGATAAGTTTTGAACTTTGAAAAATAACTTTTAAAATAAACAAAAAAAAAAAATGAAAAATAATAAAAAATACGAAATAATTCGCCCACACTCTGATTCTCACAATGAATCTATTTTATTATTATGTGTGTGTGTGTGTGTGTGTGTGTGTGTGTTAGATTGAAATATAAATTTGTAAAAATATAATTAAATTAAATTATTATGTTTCTTTTGTTTCTAGATAAATTTGTCCAATAAATTAATTATTTTGAATTAATTTCTATCAAGGATGATCTCGATAACTATCATCCTAGTAACATCGACATTGATTACAATGACGCATTGTGCACCAGTTGGACATATTCAAAAGGAAAACGGTGATCTTCCTGAAGTATTATGGCTCATTAATCAACAAATGCCAGAATTGGAGGTATGTTTAATAAAAAAAATAATCACGTTGAGCGCCATGTCAGTCATAGATGACTGACAATCAACTATTTTTTCAATACAAAGTAACACCTGTGGCCTGACGAAAATTTTCCCTAAGTATTCATATGGCGCTCAACTTGTTATAAATGAATAAATATATATATAAAAACTATCCTATCTTTCAAGTTGGATGAAACTGCATTCAGTATGCAAAATTTTATTAAAATCGGTTCAGTAGTTTAAGAGTTCATTGCGGACAAACAACGTGACATGTAATGTATATATATGGAATAGAGAAAAAGGGTAGTAAAATAATTTAAAGTTAAATAATTTAATAATATAATGAGATAAGATAAAAATATATAAAAAAATATTGCATATGTAAACATTGATAAGATAATGGATACAAATTTGTGATTATTTAAGTATTTATAGAAAAATAATCGATAAGAATATAGCTGTCCTAACATTTAACAAACTTAAATACAATGACAAGTCTATTTATATATTTTAAATTCATATATATATATATATAGTTTGTAGATAAATTTCTATATATTATTATTCGCTTTATAATAAAACATAGTGTAAGTTAGTTAGTTTACATTATGAATTGTGTTAATGGACAACGACCAATCGACAAGCCCAATTCATCTTTTATCTATTAACTTTTCACTTTGATTTAAATGTATTGCATCAGTCAATGCAAATAATAGTTTACTTATGAACAATATTATAAAGTTTAGTATTTATCTACAGATCTCTCATTTTCAATAATGGCATAATGTGATAAATTCGTTTCAATTGAAAATGACAATTCTATTGAACGTTAAAATGGTGGTTTACCTACCCCTTCCCCCTCATTAAAAACAAATTTGAAATGTAGGATGGAACGCGATGCAACGAATTTTTGAAATATGTTTTAATATTATAAACAAAAAGGAAAAAGACAATATTGATATGAATTATTTCAACAATTTCTTTCCTTACGTTGAGATAAGAGGCACGACGATAAAATAAAAATAAAAAAATGTTGAGGAAGTAAAATTTAAAGCACGCGAGTGTTTTTGAGGTTATAAAAAGGAAAACTGCGTCAAATACTTTCTTTCAAATTGTTGTTTTTAAACTCACATTCCTTGTATCTATCATTCCTCTTGAGATGAAAAGAAAAATAAAACAAATATGTCTGTAAATAAAACATGTGAAGAAGATAATCAAAAAAATGGACGCGTATTTAAAAAAAAGTTCATCGTCAGAGTTTTGTAATTTAAATTATAAACAATTAAGCAACAACGAAAAATTGGATTGATTTAAAAGTTAATCAAAATTGTCCACTGTAGTTTAACTTTTGATAAGGAAAAAAAATAATAATAATAATAAAAGAGAATGAGAGGTTATATTAATTTTAGAAAAATTACTCGATCGGTAAGTGGAAGAAATTAATCCTTTTCTTTCATTTTCATTTATTTCTTCTTCCTTTTTTGTGTCTTATAGTTCATTTTATCTCACCTACTACTACTATTCACCTTTTGGTTTTTCTGTTTGTCTTTTTTTTTGTTTTTTTTTTTTTATTTCTCCCCCTTTTCGTCTTTTCTTTTTCGGCAAGTCAAAATAAAGTGCTCGTAAAAGGGATGAAAAAAAAAAAGAAAAAAAAAGGAAAAGAAGGAAAACAATATCATTTCTCATACGAGCTATGCGAGAGAGAAGAAAAAAAAAAAAGGTTTTCTCTACAAATGAGAAAGGTCTCATAAAAGGTGAGCCATTATCATGATTGAAAGAAAAAAAATAAAAAAAGAAATGGAGGATGATGGGGGTAGGAAGAAAACGAAAGAAAGAAAGAAAGAAAGAAAGAAAGAACATCTTGGAGAGAAAGAAAAAAATAAAATTTAGCGAGAAGGTTAATTTACTTGTGTGACAAATTATTTTATTTTTTTTTTCCAAATTGAAATACAATCTTTTTTCATTTTATTTTATTTTTTTTTATTAACACGTTGAGCGCCACGCCCATTTTCAAGGAAGTCTCCGTCAGGCCACACTCATTCTCAAGAAAGTCGTTCCCGTCAGGCCACGTGCGCCGGTTAGATACATCATGTTGTACGTTGTCAGTCATTAGTGACTGACGTGGCTTAAACGAAAAGTCTAATGTCAGTCACGGATGACTGACGTGGCCTTAACTGCAAGTCTAGTGTCAGTCATCGATGACTGACGTGGCGCTGAACGTGTCAATGATAAACCTACCAGGTGAAATCGAATGACGAAATTACGTTTGTAAAATAAATATAAGTAAATAAAAAAATAATGTTTTTGATGAATAGATATAAAAAAAAAATTGACAAGTAAGGACAAAAAACTGAGGTTTCTTAAGAAATAAATTCATTTGATCATTAACAATTATTGACAGTAAAACAGTAAAAGTATCGATAGGTTTAAAATATTATTATAATAATTATTGAGATGACCTTTTGTTTTTTTTTTATGATTTTAATTGCAGAGAGAAATGTACGATTCCAGCAACGATCCTGGCCCAACAACGATACTCAGAACGAAAAGAATTGGTTCGTTGTCGATCGTAAACAATCTCGATGTTCTTAGAGAAAGAATATTATTGGAATTAGCACGTAGGAAAGCTATGCAAGATCAACGACAAATTGATGCTAATAGATTAATGCTTGATAAAATTGGTAAAAGATCATTACCAGTTTATGATGATTATTCATCATCATCATTATCATCATCATCTTCTTCTTCTTCTTCTCATCCACGTAATTTGGAAAATATCTACGATTGGATTGGTGAAAGTGGAACGATCGGCGTTGGTGATCGTCATAGTGATCAAGAACGCAGGGTTTGTTGTTTGTTGTTTTTTATTCAATTAGTTTCTTTTTATTTTAAAGTAATCAATTTATTTTATAATATGATTATTAATAACAAATGAAAATGAAACAACATATTGCTCAATTCAATCAAGCTCAATTTCGGAAAAACAGTTTACATTATTGAGATATGTAGCACTTGAATACGCTATCTGGTGGCTAAATTCAAAATTACAGTAGATCACAGTCCCTTTTCAACCCTTCAAGTATTATCTTGAAATATATGTTTAAAGAAATATTATATCACATATACGTAAATAAGCAAATTGAGTAAGATAAGACTTTTAAATGATTTGGGCGCCGTATTAGCGCCATTCGAGTTATCACTTAAATCTGCCAGGCGCCGTATCAACGCCCCTCGAGTTGTCACTTAAATTAAAGGATATTAATAATAGTTAAGGGTTAATAATAATAATAATAATAATAATAATAATAATAATAATAAAGTATATATATTGTTTAAATATATTTTCAAACGTAAATCTATTGTCAATAAGGAGATTTGAGATGTGATAATAATTTCAATTTATTCTTCTTGTTTTTTTTTAAATTGATTGTTAAATAATTGATAATTTTGTTTATATTCACAGGTAGCAAGCAACGAACTCATCTGGTAGTTTAACCATAACGTGAAAAAAATCAATTGAAGAGGACAAAACAAAAAATCTATCGGAGTTGTAGGAACACTTTTGGCATTTTCTCGCTTTTACAAAATTTTAATGAGCCGCCGCATTATTTCCCCCCATTCTCGTTCCCGTTATTAAAAAAAAAAAAATCTTCTTCTTATAGGAAAAAAGAAAAAAAAAAAAAAAAAGCAAGCTTTTACCAATCACATTTATCCGTCTCGTGCGTTTCTCAGGTTCTAAAATATAATCAGCTATTTATTGATGATCAGCGTTTGCAATAGATGAAAATAGGAAAAAAGGAAAAAAAAAAAAAAAGAATGAAGAATGGAAAAAAGAATGCACCTTATAAAAAATATCACCAATTACAGTATACTGTAATTTAACTGTATAATAGCAAAGTCAATCTTTTTTTTGTTTTTTGTAGGACGACTCGTCGTTTCATTTGAAAAACGAAAATCTTCTGAATTTTGTCGTCTGAACTAAACAGTATTATACTTTGTGATTTATTATTAATTAATTATATTTAATTAGATTATTTAATTATCGTTTCATTATTATTATTATTATTATTATTATTATTATTATTATTATCTTTTAGATAACACATATATATATAAGCTAGATTGTTATGTTTTAATTTAATTTATTTCTTATTCTATGCTAAACGAAACACACAACGTCATTTCATTTTCGTTATTTTCACAACTTAGGAATTTAATTTGATCAATTTTCAATGTCAAAAGTTTCTTATGTTAATCAAACTTTAATCGAACTAATATTTTTCTTTATAGAGATTTTATACAGTGTTTTTTTTTATTTACTATGATAAACTCAGCGAACATGTTTCAATGTTTCGTTGTTTTCAAAATTTAGGAATTTAATTTGATCAATTTTTTAATGTCAAGAATTTCTTACGTTAGTCAAACTTTAATCGAACTAATATTTTTCTTTATAGAAATTTTATACAGTGTTTTTTTTTTCATTTATTATGATAAACTCACCAACCATGTTTAAATGTTTCGTTGTCGTTAAATTGATTTCAAATTACGCTTAGTATTGACAATTTTTTTTTGTTTAATTAGTTAGTTAAGTTTAAAATCTATTAAAATAGAATATCTTCATCAACTTTTACCCCATTTTAATAAACAATGTATCATATTATTTATTTATTTGTATCTATTTGTATAATATTTATATTAATTATCGTAAAATAATTTGAGTTTAGGTTTGATGATGATCTCTCATGGTTAGGTAAACTTTAAAAAAAAAAAGTAAAAACTTTTGTATTATTTTTCTTCTTCTTCTTCTTCTTCTTCTTCTTCTTCTTCTTCTTTTACGTCCATTTTGAAATCTGTATTACAAGAATAATAAAATAACTTTGGCAAAAAGGATGTAATTTAATGCGCAATGCTATGAGATTAAATGAGAGAGAATGATCTATATATATATATATCTTATATTTAAATAAAAAAAAAAAAAAACTACAAATAATTATAAACAAACAATACTCCTCGAAAAGAAAGAGAAAGAGAAGAGAACAAAAATGAAATCAAAAACGAAGAAGAAACAAATTCTATAAAAGAAAAAAGATATTTATTCTATTATTAGATTATAATATTATAGAAAAATATATATATATATATATATTTAACATTAGTTAAACAAATAGAACAATTAAATAAAAAAAAAAAAAAAAGAAATAAAAATCAGCTCACACACAAAATCAATGATGTACCTAAAATCCTAATTAGAATTTTAGAAACAATTGTGTACCTTGAATTTTAGTGATACATCGAATGATAGCCAATTATATTCTTCTTCTTCGATCATTTATAGTTGCAATTAACTTTTAATCAATTAATAAAATAAATAAAATATATATATATATACATATATGTATAATTCTCATTAAAGATTTAATTAAACCCCCCACATTCGTGTGTTGTTTTAATCTGTTTTTATCTTTTATTTCATTTTATTTTGCAATGTTATCTTTGCAATTTGTTTGAATTATAGAAGAAGAACAAGAAAAGGTGAATCTTTTATTTTATCTATCTATCCATCTATCTCTATCTATCTCTATCTATCTATCTATCTATCTCTCTCTCTCTCTCTCTCTTTCGAATGAAATAATACTTTCGTCATAAGGCCCAAAATGAAAAGCAACAAAAATACAATTTCAACGCTTTCTGGCTAATGTCCTGTTGTATAAGATCGATGTTTAAAAATTAAGAAAACTTACCTGTTTTTGCGATAATTACACATTTGTTTTCTTTCAACAATTTGTATATTATTACACTGTAACATTATAAACAAAATTTATCTATGAAAAGAAGAAATTATAGACAACAACAACAACAAACGGTGTAATATTATATACAGGTGTTACACTATTTCATAATTCAAACGTTTGCAAATCAATTAACAAATAAATTAACGTGTAATTATAAAAATTATTATTCAATTAACATTTGATTTAATTATTCTTTTTTTAACATAAATTTTATACAAATAGAATGACCATTTTATCTAAGTTTATAGAAAGATTAGATTGAATTTGATTAACAAAAAGAGTGTTAGACAACTTTTTACATTGTACCAGATGAAAGAAATTGAATGTAATTTTATAAATTAATGATTTGCAAGCAAGTTGAATTAAAAGTGTAAAACTTGTAATTAACCTTTGCTTACCACACTTGGTTCCAAAATACCCAGACCTTTTTTTATTTGCAACTTGAGTCATTTTTCTCATCAATTGTACTACTTAACTTTGATAATTTTTTCAACATATTTAAATTTAATTTAAAGCTATAAAACCTATATAGTGTTTTAAAGTAAGTATTAAAAAAGTTTCAAAAAAAATGTTGAAGTAAATCTATGCAATAGTTTCTTTTTTATAACAATTTTTCTCACCCGGGTCCTTTAGACCCGGGTGTGGTAAGCAAAGGTTAAACATATACGTGCAATATATAAATATATATATATATATATATATATATCTTTTTATCATTTTGACTAAAATTTATTTACCGAATGTAATTGAAAATGTTGTGTATATTTAATTGTTAATTGAAATGATCATTTTAAAAAGATATCCCGTTATTATTTGAATTCATCAGATAAGTCGTCTATCGTCGATACGTTTCTAAAATACATATATATATATATATACATATATACATATATTACTGTATCAGTAGACTGAATATATATATATATGCTATATATATATATATATATATATCAAAGTTTAATATAAGTTGTACGATGTGGTGATTTTAAACGTGATAATAAATTTTATTTAATGTACAACCACGTATATCCTGAGAATATTATATTAAAATTAAATGAAATCATATATCATTTGTGGAGAAACCCATAGTTTTTTTTTTTTTCTTTTTTGGAAAGATAATAACAATAATATACCAACGTATCATTCCTTATAAAAGTTTATTATATTCTGTTTTTTTTTTCTTATTCTTCTTTTTTTTTTTTAATCTTTTCGCATTCTTGTGTTTTACTCTTTGTCTTTTTGTGTTTCTATTTTCTCTTTGTTCTTATCTTGTCATTATTATAATAATAATAATAATAATAATAATAATAATAATAATAATAATATTTAGTATCGCCATCATACAGTTATTACATTATATAAAGTACACTCTTTTTGAATTTACTAGCGAACAATTGTTTATTTAAACAATTGTTGTTAGCGAACAATTACATTTGTTTTTTTTGTTTTTGTTTTATTAATTTTTTTTCTTTTTTTTTTTTTTTATTGTTAGCTTTTCATCTGTAAATATAAACTGTTTAAATCACTTGTTTGATTCTGTACACGGTGTATTATCGTTGAAAATATTATTAATGTACATTACATTTCTTCCTTGGTAATCTCCAAAATGAACGTCTGTTTTAAGACAATTATGAATTTATAGTTAAAAAATACATTTAACTGATATCATCATCATCATCATCATCATCATCGTCATCGTCATTATCATCATCATCATCATCATCATCATTAGAGATCTTATTTTTATTGTTTTTTTCTACACAACATGAGCTTTCATATTCATCATAGAAAATAAACGTGTCACCCAAATAATAATCTTCTTTTTTTGTTTAACAATTAATTGTCAATGAAATAAATGTAGTTTTCATGTTATTACGCAATAATAATTAAATCTTATGTAAAAAATAAAAAAAAAAAATAAAAAAAAAATGTGTGTAGAAATAATGAAAATATGTGAAAATACGGTAGAAGAAGAATTGAGGGGGTGGGGGTGTTTTGGAGGGTGGGGTGGTAACGCAAAAGAGCGTATTGAAAATGACGAATTGGAAATAATTAATAACATAAATATTATGTTGTTCGTGATCACAGTTTACGAAGATCAAGAACAAATACGCTGCCATCTGATGCTGAAGCACCAACTTTATCACCTCGGCTATTCCAACATACTTCAAATATTCCACCGGTACCTTTGTAACTGTGAACTAATAATCCACTCTGTAAAGAAATGAGACAAACACATTAGAATGTGTTTTGTTAGAATGATTAAATGAACTTGAATGAATGCGTAAGAGGACTTTACCTGAGTTGACCAAATATGAACACATTTGTCAAAACTTCCACTAGCAAGGAACTTGCCATCTGGACTAAATGCAACACTGTATACTGGCTCGGTATGTTTAGTGAGCGTATGTATACAAGCTCCTCTTTCTACGTCCCATAATCTTACAGTCGAATCAAATGATGCACTAGCAAGTGTCAAGTTCATATTTGGATTATGGGTTCCTGGACCAGTCGGTGACCACTTGATAGTATAGATTTCTTTACTATGAGCTTGAAGATCGTGTACCCAGGTATCTTGTTTCATAGACCATATCTTCAAACTCATATCGTCCGAACAACTAGCCAATAGATTACCTTGGGGATCCCATTTAATAGCATTTACTTCATTCTGAAAAGAATTTCATTATACAAGATATATTATCTCATAAAAATTGTGTAAGATCTTACTGAATAATACTTACCGTATGACCTTGGAAGCTCTTAATAGGTTTATCTACATTCAATCTGCATACATGAATGCATTGATCTGTAGAACAACTAGCAAATGATGTATTAGTTTGCCAATCGACATCCAATGCGGGTGCACAATGAAAACTGAACTGTTGAGTACATTGTCCACTTTCGGCATCCCAAATAATAGTTGTTTTATCAACACCAGCACTTAAAATGTAATTTCCACGTTTGTTCCACTTCAATGCAAAAATGGGACCTTTGTGTTGACCCAGAGTAGAAGCCAATCTTCCATCTGTTGTCCAAATGCGTGCATAACCATCGTAACTTCCAGTTGCTAACAACGTACCATCGCACTGAAAAACAATTCAAATAATATCATATCTGTAACTATTGAAGAAATATGAGTAATTTAGTATGAAATACCTTCCAATCTAATGAAGTAACATCCTTGTTACTTGGTACTTCAGTTCCACCTTTCTGAATGCAATGACGAAGAACCAATTGATTAGGAGCCTGAGAATTGTCAGACATGTCCCAAATACGAGCAGTGCTGTCCCCAGAACCAGATGCCAAAAGATCGGTCGTAGGATTCCAAGCGCATATAAAAACTTCAGACTCGTGCCCTCGTAACTTGGTAGCCTTGCTAGCTGGTATTTCAACAGCACTAGCATTAGCACCGGTCCCTGTACCTTGCTGTTGTTCGTCCACTTCCATTTCATTTCTATCAGCACCTCGTTCGGTTGTTCCTACACCATCATTTGATGTCACCACTATAAATATAGGTTCAAATAGATGTTCCAATATTTCATGGATCATTGAAATTCATCTATTTTTTTTTTTTTAATGCAATGGGAGAAACTTTGTGTGTACATGTTTTATGTTTATGTATGCTCCTGTTAAATAGATATTTAGTATAAAACAATTAAAGTCAAGCAATACAATCTAAATTTCCAGAACGTTTAAGTATCTTATTGATTATTAATGAAAATAACAAATAAGATAACTTAATCTATAGAAAAATAGATTGGATTGATAGAATTTAATTAGAAAATATCTAATAAACCAAGCAGCCTGTTAATCTGCCTGAAAAATAAAGAGATCTACAAAAATGAGATACATCTGTAGACCAGGGTGTAGTACAGGCATTATCATCTATCATATTTATTATAAAAAATGAATTGGAATTGAAATTAAAGTAACAATTATACAACCTTCTTCTCCATTAGTATCTTGAACTTCGGTTTTTATCTGTTGTTTCTGTTGATTGATCTGATTCTGTCTGGATGCAACAATATCTGGCATGACTGCATCGATGAGAGACAACGACTCGACCATCCTTTGTTCCGTTCCGTCTTCACCAATTGAAATTTCTGCCTCCGTATACTGTAATCCCTTTTGTAAAATAGATAAAAGAGCTGCTGGTGGTACCAGGGCACCATTAATGTTACTCTGCGCTATATGGGATTCTATACCAAAAGTATATGCAGAATGCACGAAACCTACAATTGAAATAATACATATTTGTATTATAATTTTAATACAATCATTGTTTGCATAATGTTTATGTCAATATAAACAAAAATATAGGAATATGTTCATTATATAAATGAATTATATTGAAACAATGTTTCTTTGACAAATTATGAAAAATAATGTTTGTTATAAATAAAAATAAAATGCATATTTGTTAAGGTGTCCTACCTCTTAGAGGTTACCTAACCTCTAACTTAAAATTGAAAATAAAAAAAAAACATATTTGTATTATAACTGTAACAAGTTGTTAAGAACAAAATATCATTGTTTATATAATGTTTATGTGAATATAAACAAAAACATAGGAATATTTTAACTATATAAATGAATTGTATATTGAAACAATGTTTCCTTGACAAAATTATGAAAAAACTAATGTTTGTTATAAATAAAAATAAAATGCATATTTGTTAAGGTGTCCTACCTCTTAGAGGTTACCTAACCTCTAAACTAAAATTGAAAATTAAAAAAAAAACATATTTGTATTACAATTGTAACAAGTTGTTAAGAACAAAGTATCATTGTATATACATAATGTTTATGTTAATATTAATACAAATATAGGAATATGTTAATTATATAAATGAAATGTATATTGAAACAATGTTTCTATGAGATAAATTATGACAAAAAAATAATATTTGTTATAATTAAAAATAAAATGCTTAATTGTTAAGGGGTTAGTTACGTTAGAGAGGTTAGCAAACGCTGTTATTAATCGTACCGGATTCTTGAAGATAGCGGTAGACTAAAAAGTTGACTTCATCGCTAGAGAAGCTCATCGTTAAAGGCCTTCACACCACTAACATAACATATTTACGTTTGGACACATTGAAAAGTTTGCTTATATTTTCTTGTTGGTTATATTTCGACGCTAAAAAATTTGCCGCGTTGAGTATTCTCACGAGGGACAGATTACACACAGATGACCAACGAATTCCACGCAAACGAAAAAAAAAAAAGAAACGGTAAACGTTTTAATACCGGACCAAAACAATTTTGCTTGCTTGCTTATTTTTTTTTTTTTTTGTTATTTTGTTATTTTTTTTTGTTTTTGTCAAATTTCAAAAATCCTTTCAAGATAATCTATCGGAAAATGTCGAAGCAACATTAAAATTTGATCAAATTTTGTTCATAAATAATATTTCAAAGTAGTCACACAGGGTTAGATTACTGAATCATTAAAATGAAAATACAAAATCTAAGATGAATATCCGTTCATTCATTTTTAGTGAGTTTCCATTCTTGTAAATCGTTGCATCGATGATCTGGACAAAAAGAACTTGTTTGATAGTTTCATATTTTTCTCACCAGATGGCTCCACGATTAAGAATTGTTGGCCTACTCAGGGAATCGTGAATTCAATTTAGTTTACTTTACATTTAATCGTCCGACTGAGAGGTTCGCTTAGGAAGTAAAGCTAAATTTATTTCTAAATACAACGATATTTGGTATTAACACGTGCTTGATAATTTACTTATAAAACGGTATCCCCATTTTTGATTACAAACAGTACATAAATTGTTAGTGAAAAAAAAAACAAAAAAACAAAAACCAAACACAACATTGCAATTAATATTATCATTAATTTAATAAAAATATTCAAATTAAAAAAAGAAAAACAAACAAGTAATAACTGTTTATATCGGACGAATAAATAATTAAACATGAGCGGAAAGTGTAATAGGTGAGTGTGTTTACTTTTCTTTTTTTTTTTTTTTTTATTTAATTCTTTAATAACATAACCTAATCTTTAAACTTGAAAAATATATGTTTGTTTGGATCAAGTTTGAATAGATATTTATCATATAATATTATTGTTCGTTAGAAAACGTGGTCGTACTGAAGAGGAATCAGCTGAGTTTGTGCCACTGAGTAAAAGAATCAATAATCTTCATATCAATAATTTCTCAGGCCTACAAAAGATTGCAGCAAATAGTGAGAAGTCTCAATCGGAAAATTCGAATATTCCTTATACATCAAGTTATATAAATCCATTACCAAACAGCTCAGCCATGGATGAGAATAGTGGATCTTCTAGTTCAAGTAGTTACATTAGCGAATATAGGCCTGATCTCAGCGTAAGAGATAATCCATTTTATTATGAAACTAATAGATTATTGTTTTCATTACATATGGCACGTATGCAAAGATCTGTTGCCTATTAATAATCATAATTTTACATACATATCCGTATTACGTATATTATTTTTTATTTACATTTAAATCTCATTCGTTTGGAATAACTTTATAAAGTATTAGTATAATAACCGTATTATTCTACTAAGAATTCAATTTAATCAGATATCAACAATTTTTAATATGCATTAAATTACACATTTTGTATAATAAAATGGCTGCTCTGTGGTAAATCTTTCTCAATAATTTAAATTACATTGTTATTTCAATTCGTTTAAAACATTTATTTCTTTGATACCAAAGTTATAACAAATAAGATGTCTCCTTATGCAATTGAATTATGATAATAGTTGTATTTCTAGTATTGGTACGTATTAGTGATAATAATGATTTGTGATATATTTGGCAAAATATTACATACACTTTTACAAATTATATATAAATAGAGAGGAATAGTTTCATCAAAGAAATATAATGCGATAGGATTAATCTTATATATATACATATATACATATATATATATATATATATTTTTATTTTTTAACAATAAAATTATAAGTTTATTTTAATGTATTACGTTTAATTAATTGTCATGATGAATTGTAAGAATAAATTTTCTGTAACCTAAAAAAAAGGTGATTCATTGTATTGTATTTTAATGTGAGATTTCAAGTAGTTGTTTGTAAACATTGCAATGTGTGTTTTTAATTTAAATTTTTCCCGCCCCTAAAACCAAACACTTCCTATGAATTAGCCTTAAGACCAGCTGTAGCAGAAGTACGATGTGCGCATGCGCAGAAGTAAAACTCCGAGTACCAATCAGAAAACGTTTTAATCTTCAATATTAAGTAGAAAAATGAAAATCAGCCTTAATCAGATTTGTTTCTCAATCATCGCATGGCCAGGGACACGCATGCACATTGAGTTATTTAGTATAACAGTACACAGTCCTGTTTCCGATCATTTTTATTGAAATAGTGTATTATTTGTGCGAATAGAAACATTGCCATTACGACGAGTGATATAAAGAAACGTTTAATTCAAAAATCATACAAGGTACACCAATAATAGGCGCGTATTTTGTTCTTTTGCTTTTTTTTTTTGGTCTGTTTCCTTCCTTTTTTTCTCTCTCTCTCTTTTCACACTTTCGCAAGAGAGTAATTAACGTGAAAGTACGGACATAACCTGTATCGCCATAGTTAATCGTATCTATTAATAAAATGTTGAGTGAAAGATTAGATTCTTTTAATATCATTTTGTCATGTGATTTATGAAAATTCGTCAAAATAGTGTTAAAGACATACATTAATGATGGAAATTGTGTAAACAACTCAACTAGTCAAAAAGACTTAATTTCGATAAAGTGAAGAAATAAATAATTACAAAAAAAAAAAAACGATGTATATATTAGTGAGTGAATAACAAAAAAAAAAAAGAAAACAAAAAGAGAAGGAAGAATTAAAATTTTGTTAATCAAAAACGAAACTTAACCCACAAAACTCATCTGCTAGACGCTCTCTCGTGGGAACGAATGCGCGCGCATCTACGATTAGGAGGCTTGACATTAATGCAGTTTTTCGTTCGATGAATGAACACTAATTGTATTTTAATGACATGTGTGATTAATTAAGTGTCGTGTTAATGAATTAATTGAACTGATAGAAGAAAAAAAACAATATTTGGAATAAGGTGAACTAAAAGAAGGAAGTGTAGTGGACATTCGAAGTAAGAAGAGAAATCAAGAAAAATAAAAAATACAAAAACCAAGTGCGTGGACAAGAGGATTGCACAAGAAAAAACTTTGAGATTCTTGCAATCGGATTGGCTTGGAACGAGGCGACACGGAGGCGTCACACAGAGAGTAAGTCGAACGCATGTGGTTGTATTTTGAGTCCCGTCGTCGTCGTCGTCGTCGTCGTCGTCGTCGTCATCGTGGTCGTGGTCGTCATCGTCGTGCATGTACCGTTAACTCGAATTCATTTCACCCGGTTGAACGGAAGGCAAGTCCCGGTTCTTACCGAGCAAACCGATCGTGAGAGAGAGAGTCGATCGCGTACAACCATCGAGTACGATTCGTCGTCGTCGTCGCTATAAAAACCGGAAACGGTGTATATACTTTAACGTACGCGTGTGTGTGTTAAATGCTCACCTAACCAAAATTTCACTCGGTACGTGTATTCAATTATTTATTAAATTTATCAAATAAATAAAAATCTTTTTTTTTTTATCTCAAATAATATCACAAAATTATTTTGACTTTTTGTTGTTGTTTTGTTTTTCTATCTCTCTCTCTCTCTCTCTCTCTATTTCTTGTTCATGAAAATTAGCACAAATTGGGGTGTAGTTCGAACACGCGTGTTTTCGTATGACGTGGACACACGATAAAAGCAACAGAACAACAGCACCACAATCATCAGTTGAATTCACTAGTGAGAATAGTAGTAGTTAATAGTAAGTAGTAGCAGAAGGAGAAAAAGGAAGTGAGTGAGTGAGAGAGAAAGAGAGAGAGAGAGAGCGAGAGAGAGAGAGAGAGAGGAGGGGTGGTGACGGCAGTGCTGACGACGACGTTGCTGACGACAGTGGTGTGGTGGCGGTAGTAGTAGTGGCAGTAGTTGTAGTAGTGTAATAGTAGTAGTATTATTAGTAGTAGTAGTAGTGATGATGATAGTATAGAGTGAGTAATAGTAATACCCAGCGACGACAACGACAAACGACGCTACTACTCTCTAACTGGGGGACGAGTGAGTAGTAGCAGCAGCAGTAGCAGCAGCTTTAACAGAAGAAATGAGAAAGTATAGCTGAGTTTTGACAAGCTGAGAAGGTGGAGGATTTTTGAATAAAAAGCCAAGAAGGAAGGCGAGAATTGTTGGAGAGAAGACCAGACGCGCATACGTACGCGAACGGACAAACAAACGTACGGACAGACAGACAGACAGACAGACGGACGTACGTAGAGGTACATACACACATATACGTACACTCAGTTCGTTCGTTCGTTCGTTCGTTCGTTCGTTCGTACGGTCGGGTTGCTCGTTCGCTCGTTCGTTCGTTCGTTCGTTCGTACGTCATTCGTTTGATCAAATCAGCAACAAACTGTCCTATTTAAACTGTTGTTTTAGAAATTTGTATTAAATTAAACAAGGGGGAATAACGACACATTGTTAGATTGTTGAGAGACTGAGAACGACTACGAGATGGTGGTTAGTGGTTGGTAGTGGTGGTGGTGGTGGTGGTGGTGGTGGGTTTTGGAAGAGAAGAAGGAATCGCCATAAGCAAGCAAGCGTCGTTCCCGTGTTCTCTTTTTTTCTCTCTCTGTCTACTACTACTTCTTTGTTCGGGGTAAGTAGGACAAGAAAGAATGAATAGGAAGTAGGAAGAATTCTTTTCTTTTCTTTTTTTTTTTTTCTCTCTTTTTGTTACGTTGAACTTTAGCACGACGCATTTCGCTCGCTCTCTCTCTCTCTCTCTCTCTCTCTCTCTCTCTCTATCTCTCTCACTCTTTCTCTGTTGGAAGCTTTCTTTTTTTCGTTGGTGGTTAGTAGTAGTTCACTCACTCGTTGTGTTAGCACACTCTCACTCGTTCTCACACTATAATACTTAATAATAATAATGATAATAGTTGTTCGTTGTCGCAATGCGCACCTTTCTGTCACGTTTTTTTTTTTTTCAATCTTTCAACTTGATAAATATATCCACAAAAACTTGAGAAATTTGGAGAGATAGAGAGAAAGGCGTGCCAGGACGGATTTTAAGAGAGAAACCGCGAAACGGTGGCCCACGGAGAGCACCCACCCCAAGACACTAAAATCGTCGCGGGGCCCTCGTCGTGGCTGACGGCTTGGCTCGGGCAGGCTTTGGTGGGGTTGGTCGGAGGTGCGGACAGTGGTTGAGAGGCTGGTGGGGTTGGAAATTGCGTGGTGGTGGGTGCCCGCCGAGGTCTCGGAGGCCCCTCCGTGTGGCATCTCTCTGCCTCTAACCCAACGAGGTGGGGGTGTAAACAACAGCCCTGCCCGTGCTCCTCTCCGATGGCATAGCCCTGGCTTGTTTCCTGCCTGCCTGCCTACCTTACCTTGGTTTGGTTTAGCTTTCTTACCTGTCTGCCTGCTTACCTGCTTATTTATCTACTTGCTTACCTTGTCTCGTTTTACCTTACATTATCTTTGTATATTCACCACGTGTGTTGTGTGTTATGCATGATGTGTGTATGTGTGTGTGTGTGGGTCTCCTCGAACGACTCTTCTCGCCAAAGCATCTTCCTATTTCCTCCCTCTCTCTCCATCTCCCTCCCTCTCCTCTCTCATAGAGCGCATTCCACTCCGATCGCGAAAGAACGACATGGAAAAGGGAGTGAGAGATGAAGAGGAGGAGAGGAAGAGACGATGGAGGTGGTGGACACCCGTGTACCGTCGCGGGAGAAGCCAGCCAGCCCCACGTTTGAGAAAGAGGAGAGGAACGCTTTTAACGAGAGAGACTGAGATAGAAAATGTATATATATGTATATGTGTGTGAGCATGGAAGAGAGAGAGAAAGAGAGAGAGAGAGAGAGAAACATCAATTGCATTCGTCGAGAGAAAATAAAGCCCTCGTCTGTTAGGTCGTGCTGCTGCTAGGTCGTGCTGCTGCTAGGTCGCCACGTAGAAGGAAAGCAAGCAGAAGCAAGCACACAGTATCATCCTTCACGTCATGGCGGCCGAGCAAGCATCACGAGGAAGAAGACGCGTTCGATTTCCGTTGTTCGAGCATTTGATTGGTTTTCCCGTGCTACTACGTGTTTGCCACGTGATGATTCGGTCATTTCCGGCCACGTCATCGTTGCCTCTCCCAACATTACCCATGATTCATTTCCGTTTAACGTTCTTTCATTTATACTTTTACTTTCGATCGTATCGAGACGTATCATCGAATAATGAGATAGAACGTGAACGCGTTAATGTTATTTTAATTACTATTCATCATAATATGCATAGTAGTAATAACAGTTTAATGGTGGTAAAAGGACAAAACAAATTAAAAGGAAAAAAGAAGTTTATATGCTGTAGCTGAAACAGCAACGCCGCCGACATTTAACGGTAGGCCAGAGAAGAAGAAGAACCCAGGTCGTTCTATTTGCCGAACGGCGTCCCTCCGAGTTGTAGCTGAGTCTAAAGGTCGATACACACGTACGCGTTCGTTCGTTCGTTCGTTCGTTCATTCGAAAAAAGATGGAGGATAAAAAAAAAGAATAATTAATTAAAAATAGAGTAGTACAAGAAATAGAACAAACAGACCAAGGCAAAAAAAAACTAGAGAAAGGAAAGCGATAAATGGTAAAAATGCATTAAAGGGAAAGTAGGTATAATAAACTCGGTCGTGTTAATTTGGTATTCCGTGTAGTAGAACTTGGAAATATATTCTCTCTTTCGTGTTGCGTACGTGCGCTCGAGCACGCGCGCGCGCGTGCTGCTTCTGCTTCTCTCTCGGGAGAGCAAGAGAGAGCGAGATAGAAAGAGAAAGAGGCAGGCGCAGCGAGCCTTAAGAGAATCGACGCCATTACGACATGCGCGTCTTGCAAAGGAGACCGACGGCCTCGGCCGAGCAGCGGTCAGTCGCACTCGCCGTTTCGCCGACGACGAAAAAGCCAAACGTCCAGCAACCGAAAAGGGGGAGGCTTTTTTCTTAACGCGCTTTTTATTATTGATAAAACTTAGATATCCCATTAATCAGAGATTTTTGGCGGTATTCGGGTGTTCCACGTCGCGTCGCGTTAGGGTTGCGTCGGATCGCGTCGCGTCGTGCCAATCGAAGGAATCGCGAGGGAATAAACGTGGAGGAGAGGACGTGGGAGAGAGAGATCTCTCTCTCCTGGTTATAGGCCGCGCGACACCCTTCTTGGTGGCGTACGGCGGTGCTAAAGGCGGCACCACGGGTAACAAACCTAACCTTTCTCTCTCTCTCTCTCTCTAATGCTTCCTGACTCTATCAGTCTCTCTCTCACTCTCTCTCTCTGTTCAACCTTCCTTCCTTCCCTCCAACGAGTGCGTTCCGAAACAAGGGCAAACGTCGCCGTCGTGTCCCACTTCGTCTACCACTGTGTCTACTACTATACTCTGTGCTCCCTCTCCCTATTCTCTCTCTCTCTCTCTCTCTCTCTCTCTCTCTCTCTCTCCCGATATTTCGCTTTCGTTCCCCTCCCCTGGGAGTTTCCGGTAGTAGTGTCGTGGCTTGTCTCCCTTCTTTCTTGACGCGTGCCCCTACCCCATCGTGAGCTTTTCGTCTCTCTTTTCTCTCTCTCTCTCCCTCTCTCTCTTTCTTTCTCTGGGTTGTACGTATCTTTGTTTCTCTCTTTGGGCTCTCCCGTACGACGGGTACGTGTTACTACTTTACGCTGTAGTGGAGTTGGTTGGTGTCAGAAGGGGAGAGAAAGAATGGAGAGTGGTAGAACGAATGAACCAAAGAGAGAGAGAGAGAGGATGAGAAGAAAGAAAGAGGATGATAACGGGTGGTAGGAAGGAGGAAGATCGGTGGTGGAGGCTGAGAGAAGGGAGGGAGCGAGCGAAAGATCGGGGCTCTATTTCGCGGTGGGATCCCGCTTTCCCACCTATGCCTTCCCCCCTACCCTCTTTCTGCTCCTACCCCGTAGTTGCAACTACGAGCGTGGTGGAGTGTGGTGTGTGGAGTGGGGTGTAATCCTGGGCCACTTCGGCGACCATCCTCCCTGCTCCCAGATCCCTTTGTGGTGGGGGAGGGGTGAAGTGGGGGTTTCCCTCACCCCAACCCCACCACTACCCCGACACACAGTCTACTCTGACGGTGGCACTTCCACCTCCGCACACGACCGTCGTCACAACGACGACACGACGACCAGAGAGTTGCCTTTTGACTCCCTACCGCTTCAACAGCCCACCACTTTTATAACATACACTTTCGTTAGATGTTGCTTGTGTTAGGCACGGAAATAGAGAGAAAAAGAGAGGGAGGATTGTGGGATACTACGTTCTGGGTGGCTAGAACATGGAGGAAGGGGTTTATACACGAGCATTCATTCTCGAGTATATAGATAAACGTGTGTTAGGTGGTGGAGGAGGAGGAGGAAATGTCGATTGGTTTACTTATAGCAACCTTGGTCTTGATAGAAATGAGAATAAGTTCAAAGATAGTTTAAAGATTTAAGGGCATATCATCTTGCTAACGACATGTATTGTGTAGAATACTTGGGGAATATTATGAACTTTGAAATAAATCATTTAGTTAGAATTTTACATTTCATATTTCAATTGAAACGTAAATAGAACATTAGTTAATGTTACGTAGGATACTTGATAATCATTATGTAATATCTTGGATTCTAATTGTCATTCTTACTAATGTATTTAATCTGTTTTCTTTTTCAACAGACGTAACATCGGTTAAAGATGAATTTCACGCCTTTTCCTGGCTTTGCCACAGGCTCGTTACAACCGGGCGCTGTTCACCAATTTGCAACAGCCAAATTTGCACAAAATTTAACTACTGGTGGTCAAGTCGTCGGCGTTTTATCAGGTGGAGAGGGTGGCGTTCATTATTTAAGACCAGTTGACCCTAATGGCTTTGCTGTTGCTCAAGGAGGCAATAATCAACAACAGCAAATCATTACGCTGCCTATAACTGTACCTGGAAAAGATGGAACTCAACAACAACAAACCGTTCAAATTCAGGTGGTTAATCCCAATGTTTCTCAAAGTGGAAATAGCGGAGACCAACCCAAATATCATATCGCACCTATTTCGTTGGGACAATTTCCTCAAGGTGCAGCAACTGTCCTTACCGTTGCCTATAGTCAACAACAGGGCACTGATGGTCTTCAGATTCAAGTTCAGCCACAAAATACTGTGGCAACAACACAAACGTAAGAATCTTCATATTTCAAATATACTTATTTGTATTTGATTATTTGTATATATATATATATATCAATATTAATATCATTTTTATATTATTTCTGATAGGTCGGATCAAACAACACAAAGTACATCAGTGGCAGTAACAACCACATCGCAACAGACGATTCAGCAGACAGTACAACTTCCAGGAGCACCAGAAGGATTGACTGTGGTTGCACAAATACCACAAGATTTGATTTTAAGAGAAGGAATGGAAGAGTCTAAGGAGGATGTGAAAGAAGGGACAACTCCGGTTGCCCTTATTAAAAGAGGAACAGTTAAAAATCAAGGAAACCAGAGTAATGAAGAGTTCATTACTGCAATGCCTGCTGGATGGCAAAGTTTGGCAGCACCAGGTTCTACTGTTGCTGATTATCTTTCAAGGTTACCCGCAAGTACTTTACCTCTCGGTTTGCAACATTTTTTGAAATTTTCAGCCGAAACGATAAAAAGAGAAGCAACCATAGAATCGAGTCCTTTGGGTGCTGATGGTTTAGATGCATCTGGTAGTATGCCGTCTGGAGAACAAGCAGTACAGATTACAGTAGCTGGAGGTGAGTCGATTCTTCCTGATGTTGTTGAAGAACAGGAACCAGGAGCAAAACCTAAAAGGAAAAAGAAATATAAGAAAAAGCCTCCAAAACCAAAAAAGCCAAAGCCTGGTCAAGTTAGTATTGTCACTGCCTTAGATGGTACAACTCTATTTTGTTGTCCTCAATGCAACATGGCTTACCCAGAAAAAGAATTATTGGAACAACATCTTATCGGTCATAAGATAGAAAGGAGGTTTATCTGCGATATTTGCGGTGCTGGCTTGAAACGAAAAGAACATTTAGAACGACACAAACTTGGTCATAATCCTGATAGACCATTCATTTGCTCCGTCTGCATGAAAGGATTCAAACGAAAAGAACATCTCAATCTTCACTTTGTTATACACTCTGGACAAAAAACTGAAGTATGTAGCGAGTGTGGTAAAGCATTCTATAGGAAGGACCATTTAAGAAAACATGCAAGATCTCACCTTGCCAAACGTGCTAAAGAAGATCCACTAAATACGGCTGATACTTCGCAAAATCAGCAACAAGTAGAACAAGCACAGCAACAAACTGAACAGATGCAACAACAATCATCCGTACCGGAACTTCAGCAAATTCAGATACAAGTGGGACAGGGCTCTCAAGCACAGATTCATCAAATTTCTGTCAGCGAACAGTCTACCGTTGTGCTACCAACTGCAGCAGAAACTGGTGCAATGGCAATGTTGCATCATCAACAGCAACAACAACAGCAGCAGCAGCAGCAGCAACAACAACAGCAGCAGCAACAACAGCAACAACAACAGCAGCAGCAGCAGCAACAACAGCAGCAGCAGCAACAACAGCAACAACCTCAGCAACAGCAACCACAACAACAACAGCAGCAGCATTAGCAACAGCATACCGCCCCTAGTCAAGCCGGGCGGTACTACAGATTTAATCATCAACAAGCTAGAGGTCGTGTTAGACAAGGAGTATTAGCTGATTGAATTATTATTGAAAATCTTTTCATTGATATCGTGCAAGAAATTTTGTTGATGATGATCATTGTTGCCTAGTAGTGATTAACATAAAACAAAAATAACAAAACAAAAAAAAATGATATCAGCTTGGACCTTAAAATCGCGTCGTGGCTAGGCCGGAATAATAATTTATATTTACAAATCATTTTTTAATGCGCACCGAGCTGAAAACCACGAACAACAACAAAACTCTACAACTACAAAAAAAAGGCTCGTTCATTCGAATTTTGTTCGTATTTTTTTTTTTTGCGTACACGTTGTAGCGTACGTGTTGTAAAAGTGCGAATGAATCGCACTATGTAAAATGTTTTCGTCGCCAATCCAGTTCCATGACGCAAGTTATATATAAATGAAGAAATTTATATATAAATATATATATACATTATATATATATATATTATATACATATAAATATATGAATATATAAAACATACGTATATACGTATTCAATGTATATATATATTCATATATATGTATATACAATAATATATATATATATATGTACATATAAGTATCATTATACATATATGTATATATATATTTAAACATAACACTTATATAAATAGATACAACAAAAAAATTGATATATTTTTGAAAGCACGAACTGGATTCGCCGAAGATTATTCACAAAGGCCAATCCGAGTTTGGGGCTAAACATTATTTCTTTTTATTCTTTAAAAACAATATTCAAAACAAAAATAGAATAAAAAGAAATAATGAGATAAAAAAATGAAAAAAAAAAACAAAAAGAAAAATAATAATAATAAAACAAGAAACAAATAAACAACAAGAAGAAGAAGAAGAAGAAGAAGGAAAAAAAAATAATGAAACCCTGTAAATATAAAAAACAGTTTTTCATCCCTAAAACGGAGGATTACTGTGATGTGCAAATATAAAGTGATACGTTTTATTATTTATTAATTTGCTTAGTCTACACGCAATCCGAGATAAAAATGGGAAAGGGATGAAAAAGGAAAAGAAAAGAAAAAACAAAACAAAACAAAATACAGAAAACGAGAAGAAGGAGAAAAGCTGTAATAAAAATCGATAAATTCGCGTTCGATTTTAATTTAGTATTACGTAGAAATCTATTATTATTATTATTATTGAAGTTGTTGCAGAAAAAAAAAACATACAAAAAAAAAAAAGAAAACAAACAAAGAAAAACAAAACAAAACAAAACAGGAAGGTGTTGTAATCACAAATTGTTCTGATCTATAAATTAATGACAATGATGATTAGTGTATATTTTTACAATAATAAGTGGTACGTGAAAAAAAAAACAAAAAAAAAAACAAAAAAACACATCCACTTAACATCCATCAATTTTTAATGTAATTCGCTCGCGCGCGTGTTACATCGCATATAAGAGAGAGATTATGAAATAATTGCATTTACAATGCGAAATATCTATGCAAAAGACATTTTTGTTTTTGCCATTCGCATAAAAATAAAAATAAAAATAAAAAAACAAATAAATAAATAAATAAATGTTTTTATTCGATTAGAAGGAAGAAAAGAAAAAAACAAAAAGAAAAAAAAAATCAAGGAATAGGTTTAAAATTAATTTTTAAATAATGTTACTTGATGTATTTTTATGTGAAAGGAACACCCATTCCATTTATGTGGAAATGACAAAAAAA